TTCCCTGAGCAGCTCACAGGGCTCACAGGCCCCGCCCTGCCCTGGGCTTTCCCAGCCCTCGCCTCCGCTGTTGCCAGTGTCAGCCTCTAGCTGTGTTTTCACTTTTCCTACATCAGCTGGGATTGCCCAGCTGCACAGGCTAAAAGCTGCGCCATGGAACTCAGGCAGGAATTACACCTCAGACGGAGCTGGAAGTTCAGAGACACGGACAGAGCAGCGAGCTGAGATCCAGAGGAGGAGGCTGAAGTGAGAGACGCCAGAGGAGACTGAGAGACCCCAGGCGGCAGCCTCAGAGCGGACACTTGATCCCCATCTGCTGCAGGAACCAGAGAGCAGGAATGCAGCTGGGTCAGCCCCTACATCATTGTCCTGGACCCTCGCCTCCCCAGAGCCTCCACCCTCACCCGCGACGCCCTCCCTCCCCTCATCTTTCTGTCCTTCCTTAACACAGACGTGGACCCCGGCTGCACGCTGGTGCTGGTGCTGATGACTGTGGCGCCGAGCAGGACAGGAGCGGTTCCTGTGCCCTCACCCCTCGGGGCCCTCCCAGGTGCAAGGGGCTGCCACATGGCCCAGTTCAAGTCTCTGTCCCCACAAGAGCTGCAGGCCTTCAAGAGGGCCAAGGATGCCTTTGTGAGTCTCCGCCGACCCCTCCTGCAGTGGGCGACCCTCCACCCCTCCCTCTGCGCTCCCAGGCTACGTGGGCTGAAGGTGGGCCTGCCCTCCCCGCACTGGGCTGACCTCCACCCTCCCCGCGGTGGGCGATCTCCTGTCCTCCTGCGGTGGACGTGCCTCTGCGGTCCTTCTGGAAGTCAACCTCCCGTCCTCCTGCTGTTGGCCATCCTCCAGTCTCCCTGGGGTCTTCCCTCCATCCCTCCCGCTGTGGGCTGACCTTGCCCTTGCTCTCCAGGAAGAGTCGCTCTTGCAGAAGGACTGGAACTGCAGCTCCCGCCTCTTCCCCAGGACCCGGGACCTGAGGCAGCTGCAGGTGAGCTGGGAGAGTCAGGCCCACCTGCCCTCAGTTGGGAGAGTCAGTGCCCGCCCCACTCCGGCTCTGTAGGTGGCCCCTCACCTCCTCCTTCCCTCACATCCTTCTCTCCCTGCCCTCCCCACCCGTCCCCTGACCCCTTCCCCTCAGCCAACCACATCGGCTCTCACCTGACCCCGACTTTCACCTTCCAGTGTCCCTTCCTCTGATCCCCTCACCTGTGCCTCCTCGCCTGTTCTCTCTCACATGCAACTCTCACCTGTCTTCTGTCTCCTCCTCAGGTGTGGGAGCGCCCCGTGGCCTTGGAGGCGGAGCTGGCCCTGACACTGAACGTCCTGGAGGCCACGGCTAACTCATCCCTGGATCACATCCTGGACCAGCCCCTTCACACGCTGCAGCACATCCACTCCAAGCTCCAAGCCTGTGTGAGCGCTCGGGGCGCCCGGGCCGTGTCTGGGCTCTGGCCACCTGTACGTGCCCCTGTGTCCCAGGCCCTGCCTCACACCGTCAGCACCACCCTCCTCTGCCCACAGGTCCCAGCTCGGCCCACAGCAGGCCCCAGGCCCCAGGGCCGCCTCCACCACTGGCTGCACCGGCTCCAGGAGGCCTCGAAGAAGGTGAGTGACCGGGGAGGGGAAACCGACGGCTGGGCTCAGCTGGGAGCCCAGACGTGGGAGCTACTGAGCCATCCCCCTTTGCCCCCAGGAGTCCCGGGACTGCCTCGAAGCCTCTGTCATGTTCAACCTCTTCCGCCTCCTCACCCGGGACCTGAGATGTGTTGCCAGTGGAGACCAGTGTGTCTGACCCCTGAGACCCACCTGCAATGTGTCTCAGCATCTTCGATATTA